CTCTTGCTGGATTTCTTGAGTGAGCTAATGCCTCCCCCAAACTTTGGAACCACTTACTACTAGTGAGGGGAAGAAACAACTCTTGAGGGACTGTGCCCCTCGTCATGAAAATGTGTGAAAATGCCTTGGGAAAGGCGAGGGAGGGGCAGACAACCCCATACCAGACCACAGACATCCACCTGAAGACAGTGCCTCACCTGGTGCCTGGACAATGCCCACCTGGCAACCCTGCTCCTTGGGAGACACCGAGGAGGGACTGCAGCTGAGCAAGGCGGCCTGCATGCCTTCTCAGCCTGCCTATTGGAGCACACACAACTTACAAACCAATTCAATGTTTTCTCATTTCGTGTGGGCATTCCCAGACCTGAAGTCAAATGGGTGATACAATCTAGGGGAACACTTCTCGGGGAAGAAGAACCGCAGACCACTTTGACTTAGTGACAGCAAAACGACGTGCCCCCATCATGTCTCCCTTTGTTGGCACTTAGCCCAGTGGGGGTGTACACTGTATCCCCAAGTGTGCTTGGGGAGTTCACAAATAAATCCACTCCCAATATTTAGGATGAGAAAGAAGAAGGTGGAGGATGAAGATGAGGAAGAAAAGGAAGAGGAGGAGGAGGGAGAAGAGGAAGAGGAGGAAGATGAAGGAGAGGGAGAGGAGGAGAAAGAGGAGGAGGAGGAGAAAGAGGAGGAGGAAAAAGAGGAAGAGGAGAAAGAGGAGGATGAGGAGGAGAAAGAGGAGGAGGAAGAGGAAGAGGAAGAAGAAGAAGAAGAAGAAGAAGAAGAAGAAGAAGAAGAAGAAGAAGAAGAAGAAGAAGAAGAAGAAGAAGAAGAAAAGCAAAAGCCCACTCCATGCCAGTAACTGACTGGCTGGTGCCTGGTGTTTGGCACTGAAGTCAGAGTTAGCAGTTTGTACGCTTTGAAGTGCGAGGGCTTTTGCCTTCTTTTATTAGCAGTGAAATGAACTTTAAAGAGAAAAAAGTTGATGAGGAGTATTTTTCCATGGCAAGCCACGTAATGTCTCTGGTACAATTCCCTATTTAGAAATCCAAGCTGCCCTGAGGCACTTGGGACTACCTGGGGTAGCTCACACAACTCCTGCTCGGGAGAACTTGGTCAAGTGTGGCTATGTTCAGCGGACCATCTCTTATAGGAGCTACAGTGTTACAGCGGGATATTTCAGAGCAATGACTTCCAAACCAGGCCTTCACACCCAGCTCTCTCTCTCCTCCCTCCCCCTCTCTGTGTATGCATAATCACATGCGCACATTATCTTGAGGGACTGTCATTTTAACAGACAACCTGGGTGAGTCCAATGCAAGTCCTTACTGAGAAAAACTCATTTAGAATCTTTAAGATTCGTTGGCTAAAAGAATCGGGGTTTTACATTGCGCAGAATATTTCTGTGCAGAAAGATTCAGACTCATTTGTTCTTCCAGGAAAGGAGAATGCCTGCTCTTGACTTCCCATAGGCTATTTACACGGCTGGAGAGATGGCTCAGTCCTTCTAGGCTAGGCTCCCAGCCTCGGGCTGTTTATCCAGAGTGACTAGGCTGGGAGACCTTCTTCTGACTTGGCTGATTAGGAAGTCACTGCAGGTCAAGAGATGTGCCAAGGGGCAGTGGCATCTGACTGGGGGTAGGGTCTCCATCTCCTGACTCAGGAACAAAGGTGAAATGTGGGGGCCCCCCTTCACACAGCCCTGAAGTCAGAAGCCCTGGGAACTGCCTAGAGAAAATTCCAGCACATTCCTGTCCTGGCTTTTGATCCAGTTTCCCTGGAAGCCCCACACCAGCAGGGACCCTTGGGGACAGAGGTAAACTAAGAAACTTAGCTGTGTTCTACTTCAGTGTATTTATGCCGTGATAGAGAAATTTCTATTGCATGGCTATGCTATCCTGGGAAAACCATCCTCATCAATTCTCCATAGCCCAGGGCCATGCCATTCACCATGACAGACAGACGCAAGCCAAATTCTCTAGATCTAAGAGTGCTCCTAGAAAAATGAAGAGATGTGGTGTCCCTTAAAGGAACGCTGTGTCTTTAGAAGAGTCCACGGGTAGCTACTTTGATTTCACAAATGTTCACCAAGACTTCCTGGGTGGCGGCTGGGCTTTTCCTCATCACACCATAAGGTGCCGTGGGGAAAGTGAAACTCTGACAGTGGGAAAGTCGCCCTTCATTCTACAGCCCTTCCTTCCCTTTGCCCGCAAGGGCCTTCAACCCTGTGAGAAAAACTCCAAACAGGACGGACTAGACAAAGAAATGTCTAATCACATTGGTGGGGGAAATCTCAGCAGACACAATGCATCTTTTCAATGGCTGAAGCTTTTATGAATAGAGAGAACGCTTGCTGCTATTGCTGTCCCTGGCTCTGGGAAGGGACACCATTTACTCTTAGATCCTAGTTCAGTCCTGGAGCCTCCAAGAATTAGGTTCATCTGCTAAAACTCCACTGTGGAGTCAACTTCAAAGCCCAGTTTATGAAAATCACTAGACACATTCTTAAAATAATAACTTCCAAAAAGCATCCTTTTTTTCTAGAATGATCCTTATCTTGGGAGTGTATGTGGCTTGGGCCTGCTTGCAACAGTGCCCCTTGGGACTCTTCCTTCTCTGACCACACCTAAACTCAACCGCTGTCTCCTTTAATGATGTAGTTCCTCTGGTGACTGGAGCGAGCCCTTCTGAGCCTTCATGTGGGATGTCAGACTAGTTCCGGACACGCTCTAGACATCTGTCTGTCTAGCACCATCGCAGGGTGTTTGATAGGCCCTTGCTACTACTCAGAGAATCAACACACTGCCGAATCAGGCAGCAGGTGAGATGCTGCCATGGGCCATGGCTTGAAAGCCACACATGGTACTCTCACGCCCTTCCCATTTGGATCTCATCCCAGAGGAAGACTAGAGATGCTAAGTAGGTCTTTAATGAAAACTCTATTGGTCCTCTCAGTTGATGCCGAGCAGAAGCCTCAGTCTTACCCAGATGTGTTGTTCCAACATGACTCATTTGCTTCCTGTCGAAACCGCTCCACAGGCAGGAAGAACATGCCACAGTTTAAGTAAAATACCAAGTGTTCATACCAAAGTGCTGTGCAATTTAGCCAAATTTGAGCACTTCTTGGCCCCTTCTTGATGAGAACAGCTTACTGTCTGCAAGGAGTGCCAAGTGTCACTTAATGAAGGGGACATCTGGGAGACAGATTCTAAGGTGACCTCTTCATTTCCCTTCGTGAGTACCTATATATACCAAGATGACTAGGATATGATGTCACTGAGACATATGATACCATGGGACTGTCTATAAATGTATGGTGTCTTTTGTTGACTGAACTATTGTCAGCCAGCATCAGACACACATGACCTTTGCCCCAGCCCTGGGGAGCTGCGAGCACCCTAGCGGCTCCATGATGAACTCAGCCCCTCTGTAATCTGAAAGTCAGACTCTTTATGAGACTGCAACTTGGCAAGTGGCCCGATTCGCCACTTTAGAACTGGAGTTACCGAAGCCAACATCCACAGAGCGGGGCTTGCTGGAGCAGTCAAGGAAAGGAAGCCTTTGCCAAGGAAGGGTTTTGTTTGCCAGCCGGGCACCCACTGACCCCATCCTGCCAGCAGTGGCTCTCTGCTATTTTAGTCATGTGCATACTGTTTGATTCCTTTCTCTACAGACATCAATGAGGGGCATGCAAGGCCCCTCCTGCAGGACAGGGCCGGCCTTCATGGAGGTCCTGCACACATAGGGGTATTGGCTGACTGATTTACCAGGTAAAAGACAAGTGATAATAGCTCCGGGCTATCTCATGAACAAAAGCGCTTGGACATGTCTCTAGACCCAGGGGTTTGTAGTCATTTCTGTAGAGCAATGCAGAGCCGGTTGTCGGGATTGCCATGCCTTGATGCTCAGGCAATCTCTTCCTAGCCCTGCTTCTGTTTCCAGTATTGTAAACACCCAACTACACACTCAGGAGGCTAAACCAGCACGGACGTCCACTCTAAGAGCATATGCCCTATAAGAGATGTCTAGTGTTAGTGACAATGATAGTCTCGCAGATAATTGAGATCTAGGTTTGTACATGATGGTTTGCATCCAGAGAGATGCCAAGGCAGAGCCGGACAGCGGGTTTCTGGCTATTTGGGAAGGAAACCCAGAGCCTAGAGAAGGGGCCTAAAGTGGTCAGTCAACGGTGTTTTACTTTACAAAGAGGGATGAGCGTATCTAGCGAGGCTCCTAGCAGCTCCGAAAGCCTGAGGCTTAGAGCATTCTTTCTTGGGGATCTAACAGGATCCTGACTATGTGTAGTCCAGCATTTATGGGGTGGGCTTATACAGTCTCACTTGGGAACTGAGGAGGCTAGAGCTATAGGCCATACCAAATCCTTTCTCTCCATACTGGATGTGATAGAGTTCAGTGACCTAACTGGTCATTGTTAGTGGCTCAATGTTAGACAACTGGGCATAGGTGATGGAAAGTCAAATCAGAAACAATTCAAACAAATGTAAGATCTCTAATCTCAGCCTCTCTGGCTGGCTTGATGAGATGAACACAGAGAGAGATTCTGGCACACCAAGTATCTGGTTACTAGAGTTCTGACGTTGATATTTTACAAGTGACCAGTTAGCAATTAAGCAATCATATACTTATCACTGAACCTGTAATCAACACAAGCTTTGATCATGACGGCCTCAAAACTACTCCCATTCTGTATACAATTACAAACAGTGTTGCACACAACCAACACATAACTAAGGAAATGTGGGCACACCGTGTAAGTCAGAGGACTCTGGGTGATATTTTTCACAGTATTTAAATGTCTCATACCACTTCTGTGGATGAGGCAACCTCTTCCAGCTGTGATTGAATTGGTTCATCTATTATTAAGTTCTGACGCAAGCAGACGGCAATAGACTTTGCTGAAGTTCACAAGACACAGAGAGCTGGTTCACTCACATGTGCATATACACAGTGGAGAGACGCACACGATTCACGGTACTGACCTGCCCTTTCATGTCAGGAGCGATGGGGATGGTCGGCCAGATGGTTGAATAGACACCAAAAAACACCAGCCAGATCAGCATGCTTCCCCATACGGCCAGGTGACTGAACTGTGGAGGAAACGCATGCTTAGGCAGGGCTTTCTGCTGGCCTGGGCAGGGGCGGGGTCCACTCCAGCCCATAAGTTGTCCAACCCCCATCCCACATTCATGAACCTTTCTTGATGGGGAGAAACTGAGGATATACTAGTTACTGGAGAACTCTGCCTCTCTCAGTAAGTTCCTTGTCTTAGGATTTGTAATGATATCATCTAATTAACGCAGGCTTGCCCTACCCTGAAGAGGAAGGTGCTGTGTGCCTCACCCTCTTCTAAAATCCACGCCCCAGCCATGACCCACCCATCCCTGGGTTTATCTCAATGGTCTGCTTTTTGAAGCAAGGTGCAGCCATCTAGTGAGAGAGAGGTGAGTTGGACAAATGGACAGAACGTTCTTCTCACCTAAAGACAGCATCTGTCCTTTTTATCGCAGAGATTATTTAAAAAACAACCCAGAATGGCTAATATCTATTCTAAACACTTGAAATAGCACATATGATAGAGTTTTAAAAATCCACGTACAGTTGTTCACATTCACAGGTACACCATGACACTCCAATGGACGTTTATAGTGAGCAATGACCAGACGAGGGTAATTGGCATATCACGTCCACAAAACATAATTTCTGGAGGTGGAAACATCCAAAATTCTTTCTTCCAGTTGTTCTGAAAGTGGGTACTCAGTACAGTTACCCCATATCCTACAGAACACTAAAGTGAGTCCTGCTACCCTGTTCCACTCTGCACACCCTAGATTTCCCTGTGTGTTCTGCCTCCTTCTCTTCCTTTGCTCTAGAAACTAAAACTCTATACTTCACTTTGATTAGATAAACCTTGGGCAGCTTATGCCCTTTTAAGTTGTTGGTCTTTCTCCTTTGTGCTCTTAGTACAATCCCTGACGTCTCTCTCTACAGCCTACCCTCTAATCCCTCACAAGCTCTGCCTTTCAGGTTCTATTTTTGAACAAGCACTTCTGTATTGCAACACTCACTGCCTCTTCCTGCAATATTCCTGGCCAAGTCGCTATTTCCACCTCCCATCTGCCATCATCCTTTAAGAGATGCCCTGGCTCCCTGGTGACCTTCCGTTCTACCCTGTTTGTTTATCACCAGAGCAGGAGGTCAGTGAGCTACAGTGACACCTTGGTAGACAGACACTGTGAAGTGTGGTTGTTACCCCATCTTGGAAATAATAAGAAATGTGATGCTGATAGAATGAACCTGGATAGCCTATGCAAATTGTATTCTTTAATCATGAGCAACAGTTTCATAGAAGCTTTAAGGACTCAGAACATGAGGTTCAAGGAGAAAAAAAGATGACAAAACTGTCCACGCCACAATGCGCCCTCTTATTAGAGAATGCACACGAGGGTCAGAGTGCCATAGTAAAGTTATGTGCAAATACTACATTTTCTGATCTCTCCTTCTGTATGTTTCTCTCTCCTCCCTCACTCTCCTTACTCCTTTCCCTCTTCCTCTCTCTCCACCCCCTTCAGTTATAATGAGAGTTTTCATTTCAGGCAGATAATAGTAAGCTTGCTAGGCGCCAAGCAAATAGAGCACCAGGAGTAGCTGGATTCCAAATTCCAAATTGCCTTCATAAAGATCGAAAACAGTTTTACTTGCAAACTTTGAAACAAGACAACTGTATAGTATTTATTGTTTCCCCAAGGATTAAAGGGAAGTGATTGCATACAACTATCTACCATGGAGAAAGAAGTAATTCCAAAGATGACTCACTTTAGTCCAAGCTGTTGTCTCCAAACCAGCTTTCAGGCAAACTGTAACCACAACGTACTGTGAAAAAAAAAAAAAAGAGAGAGAGGAGTTTGGTGTGACGCAAGTATTTCTCGATCGGAAGTCTGAACTTCAGGGAATCTGATAGCCCATAAAGACATGGAGTATCTCACTTTAATGTGGAGAGCCTTGCATAACTGGGGAGGTATAACCCACGTGTGTACCCTTTTAGGGATGGCTCAATAGTGCTAAACTTACCGTGTAAACAATATTTCCAACAAACAAATAATCTGTGGCATGACCGCTGGCCAGTGGAGTATCTGGAAAGCAAAGAAGTGCTATCAGTATTGAGAAGGCTACAGTACAATCTGTTGTCCGTCCGTCCCCCCACCAGAACATAGAAAATGGAGCAGTAGGAGCATCTCTCAAAGCCTGAGGTCATTTCAAAACAGACTCCTTTGTGACTCTAAAGGTACTTTCTCATTATAATGGTATTGTTTTATCATTATGTTTTCCTCAAATGAATAATACAAAGTGACAGATCTTCAAACAAAACTAATGGTTGATTGCACTGAATGTACAGTTTTCTAAAATCAAGTTATGGTATGGGAGGTCCTTCTGCCTATGTGTTGCTCTTATTGGTTAGTGAATAAAGAAACTGGCTTGGCCTGAGAGGATAGAACAGAGCTAGGCGGTGGAGGGGGGGGGGAGAGGGACTAAACTGAATGCTGGGAAAAAGGAGGTGGAGTCAGTGAGAAGCCATGGAGCCCCACCAGAGACAGATGACTGAACTTTACCCGGTAAGCCACAGCCTCATGGCGATACACAGATTAATGGAGATAGGCTGAATTAAGATGTAAAAGTTAACCAATAAGAATCTAGAGCTAATGGGCCAAGCAGTGATTTAATTAATACAGTTTCTGTGTGATTATTTCAGGAGTCTGGGCGGCTGGAATACAAACAAGCAGACTCCTACAACAAAGTTATCTTTTGGTCTGGCTTGAAAACAAACAGAACAAGGACTGGTCTAAGAGCACACCAAGTGCCTCAGCCAATGTTCCTAGTAGCTACAAAGGCTGAGAGACCCTGCTTGGTGGCACCTGCTCTGTGGAAACCTGACTCTGACCCTGAGTGTGCTAAACTAGTTTCAAGTCAGGAATGGCTTCCATCTCAGTCCCTCCTTGGTTCTCAGGTTCAGATTGGGAGGAGGGGGCGGGGAATGATGACTACAACACACGAGCCAGGTCTCAGGGATGTCTGTGTTCACATTGCCAGCGCAGCTGCTGCTATCCACACGTATTTGGGCTGACTTGCTCATCTAATCTGTGGTGTGCTAATTGGATTGAGTTCCAGGTGAGTTCTGGTTATGGGATGGTCCCCGGGTCCAGCTCTAGGGTCCAGCTTTGCTCCTGGCCCTGAGACGTCAGTCTGTGCCCAGAGTGGCAGGCACCAGGACTGCATTAACACAGTCCTCAACTTCATGACTGTTGCTGGGGGCTGTTAAGAGTCACACTAGGAGTTCAGAAAGAGATTCCACCATGGCCATAAACAGAAAGCTCTGGGGACCGAGGGGAGAGGTGATAAACAAAGGGGAGAAGGTGAGGGAGAACCCCATTTAAAGCAAGCACAGAGAAAGTTGGAAAAGGGAGCCGCTAAATTAATTTCAGTAAGAGAACATACTGACCTGTGGGCTGAGTATCCCTCATCTGAAAACCTAGAATCTTAAGTGCTTTGAAATCCCACTGAAGCCTTTTAGGTGTTGGGTTAGGGACAGTCAATGCATGGAGTCTATGTTAATCATTCCACAGTTCAAAATCCTCGAGCAAGGAAATGCTTCCGGTCCCAAGTTGGGGATACTCATCCTGTCCTTGCAGACAGCCATTCTAAACTGAGAGTGTCTATTTCTAGAAACTGGGTCTGAGGTTATTGTAACAGTGGATACAGCACTTCAAAGACATGCTCCACTGAGGGTCATGTGACATGAGACAGGGGTGGCTTAGTTAACAAAGATCATAGCCATGAAAGGAGTAAGTTCAGTCTTTTATGTACTCAAATCCACCCTGTGTAAGGCACTGTAGGAACTGGGAAGAGGAGGCTCCCACCTTCATGGAGTTTGAATGACAGAGCATACACAAATGAACAAATTGATATATAGTCAGCTATGAAGAAATTTAAGATATACTATTTGAGAGAGGTAACACATGAACAGATCAGAATGACAGAGAGGAGTTAACTCAATGGCCATTAAACACCGGCTCTGGGAAAGAAAAGGAATGGCTAAGAATCTTAATGAAAGCAGTGCTTGACGAGCTCAAAGTCTATTACTAAGACCAGTGTGTTTGGAGATTCAGGGAGAGAGGAAGCAGCCAGAGGCCAACAGAGGCAGGCTGTACCAAAGCATCTGCACTTCTATGGTAATCATGGCTGATGATGACTGGAGGGTGCTGAGCCTTCGGGGAAATGGTTTCAAATATTCTCAGAGGAACAGTGTGACTCACGGGCGAACAGAATAGGGATGATGACAAGTACAGTGCCAATTTGGCAAGGGACGGCGGCCACAAGTGCAGGTGACGAAGGGCGATACTGGTAACAGCAGAGAGGCACATGTGCTGTGGCAGCCGCTGGCGCCATCCACTTGCTTACCTTTGAGTTAATGAAAAAAGTCGGTTCAAAAAGAAACCCCAGGGGCTTGGGAGGAGGAGGAAGGGAGAATGAGAGGTTGCTCCATGGGCACAGAGCTAAAAGATTGGGGTGATGAAACAGTTTTGCAAAACCTAGACCAGCAAGCTCAGTGTAACTAGGGTCTCTATTTCCACACGGAGAAGGGTTCAAATTTCAGAGTTTCCTTATGTCCATGCCTATTATTATAATATAAAATTAATAAAACATCACAGGGCCAAAATAATATAAACTTTAGGATAGATGGAAGAAGCACATCTTCCTAGCCCCAGATCTAAGAATGATCTCAAGAAAAGATGCCACAAGCGTAGTGACAAACCAAGGACAATTAGAAGCAAAACTAGAGACTTTTGTGTTTCAGATAACACCATCAAGAAAATGAGAAAAAGAACAAAAGAATGGAGGAAACACTTGTATATCATGTGTCTGATGAGAAGCTTGTGTCTAGGATATGGAAAGAACCCAACAGCATGAAACTTCTCAATATGAGCATGGGCGAAGGACCTGGATAGACAGATTTAGCAGAGGAGATATACAAATGGCTGACAGGGATGCAGAGAAACTCAACATGATTGGAAGTAAAGGAAACAATCTCAAAGCCATTTGAAGAATCACTTGATACCCACTAGGACGGCTTTACCAAAAATGACAACCAAAGGGTTATAGACAGGCGATGGTGGCACACATCTTTAATCCCAGCACTTGAGAAGCAGAGGCAGGCTCTGTGAGTTGGAGGCCAGCCTGGTCTACAGAGGGAATTCCAGGGTAGCCGGGACTGTTACACAGAGAAACCCTGTCTCGCAAAACCAAAAAAAAGAGAGTCAACAAAAGTGCAGAGACCTGTAATCGTTCACACACGGCCGGAAGCTGAGTAAGCTGTGCAGACATTTTGGGGAACTATTGGCACTTCCTAAAAAAGATTGTGCACATTTATTACATGGCCCAGTAATTCCCAAGAAATATGAAAATGCGGACGGAACACAAAAGCTTATACACAACTGTTCATAGCAGCATTATTCACAGCTGCCCATGAAGCCTAAAACAATGGGCATCATTATTCCTCAGCCACAGTAGCCTATTCATAATGCAGATGTCCATCAACCAGTGAATGAACAAATAACTGTCCATCACTCAGTGAGGGGCGCATCAATACAATAGAGCATTATTGAGAAATCACGAGGAACGAAGTACGGGTACATGCCACAGTACGGACAAACCTTGAAAAGGGAAAGAAACCAGGATCAAAAAGCCATATGCTGCATGCTTCTGTTTATATAAAACGTCCAGAGTGGACAGATCTGCACAGACATGCTGCAGTTGCCAGGAGTTGAGGGTCTGAGGGCTGGGTGACAGCTTTTGGGGGTGATGAAACATTTGGAAGTTAATGACGATGACGTGGTTGGGCTGTGTAATGGAATTGTACCTTGAATTGGGTGAACTGTACAGTGCACATATAGAGATACAATTCTATAGTGATGGAGCTGCTACAGAGACTTGGTTCTCTGGTCACACTGGACACATTTCAGAGGCTCAGAAGCCGCAGGTGGCTAGTGGCTACTGTCCTGGGCAGCAGATACATACGCCATCTCCCCCTCTTCTGAAGACCAACTGACAATACGGGCCAGAAAGGCCATGTCAGAGCTACTGAGAAGTGACAGAAGCTGGCAAATATTTCAAAGTAGAATGCCTTTTTTTTCCCTTTTTGCTCACAACTTAGAGGGAGAGTGGCAGGGAGTGTGAGGGACCTCAGGCTGAGCAGGGAGGTAAATGGGTGGCTGACTTGTCACGGAGACAGTCACCTAGTCTTTGCCGTAGGAAGATGGGCTGGAGGAGGAGCCGTGAGGACCTGCAGCAGCGCCTGCAATTCATGATAGGAATGAACAACATGAAACATAACTGCATGCAACAGAAAGACTTTGGTAAATGAGGCAGGGGAAGGAATTAGCTTAGCAGGCAAATCTGGGTCATGAGAGTTAGGAGACGCTGGTACAACCTGGCAACCTGGCTTTCTTACCCCAGTTCCACTGGCAGAGAGGTGTTTTTTTTTTTTTTTTTTTTTTTTTTTTTTTTTTTTTTTTTTNTTTTTTTTTTTTTTTTTTTTTTTTTTTTTTTTTTTTTTTTTTATAGATTTGAGCCTGAGCCCTACAAGCCTCATTTCTAACATGGAGGTTTCATGGAGGAACAGAGATTAAAGAGGAAGATGCAGCGACAATGCCTGAAATGAGCCACAGGTTTCCCTTTGGGTAGGAAATGCACCATGCTCTTAGCTGTTCCATCAGCCCCCTGCATTCAGCGGCAGAGATGCGAGCCTCAGCTCCTCTTCCTCTACTGGGTCCAGATGGATTTCAGTCTACCCATCCTGTGTCTTCACAAGCACAGAGAGTTTTAGCCGGGATGAGCAGTGATCTGAGCCTTGGTGGTCCATCTACACTAAGCCTGGGGAACGTAGGAAAAACTCTGGCCAGGTGGGAGTTAGATGGAGAGGAAGACTGAGCCAAACACAAAGCCCGGAGTCACGGTCTCACAGCTTTGGCTATTGTTTGAGTGTTGGGGCAATCCCCAAATGCCAGCGTTACTGACATACACGACCACATCTGGCCTGACACTTTTTTTCTTTTATCTGCAGTGCTGGTGACAGAAC